TACGGCATTTTCAAATAAAAGTGATGAAATATCACTTTATCACATTCTAATTTTTACAAGCACCTTGAATGTATCAATTAAATCTAGAAGTAGCCCCAATCCACAAGCCTCTGCTTCCACCATTTTTGCAATCTTAATTATAAACCCCAGCACCTTCAAACCCCCCAGGCCCAGCCATAACAATCTTTGAACAACAAGCACAGAGAAAATTGAATCGAGAGTAAGTAGTTGTCTTGATTTGTTTTAGTACATCAGCAAAAAAAATAAAAAATAAAAAATAAAAATAAAGAAGAAAGGAGGAGAAGAAGAAAGGTAGCATTGTTCTGTTTGCTCTTGATAGTTATAATTCGAAAAAAAATAATCTTTCACAGCAAAATAGAATACAATTCCCATTCACAACGCTAATTTTTTGGCCTTTGCATCAATTCTACGTCTAAATATATCTACAACTATCTAACCATACCACAATTAAAGTGGAAGTTTATTTTAGGACTAAACATGGTTCGATTTGGTTCAAAAGAGAATTGAACCGAACTCAAAATTTTTGAATATTTAGTAAATGTAACTATCGGGTTCAAATTTAATTATGGAATCATTCAAGTTCGATTCCATTCGTTTCAGTTCGGTTCAATTCCTAAATTTCATAGTATAATTAATTTTTAATATTTATGAAGTTATATTAATTCAACTAATGACATGTTCAATATTAACTTTTACAAAATAAACTAGTCCAATCTTATGTATCTTTTGCGTCTCTCTCTGCTAAATTTTTCATAGATTTGATTGTTAAAATAACAAGATGAAGAATGTGAGCTCACAATAATTAAGAGGCGCTGTCAAACTTTGATTTCTCCACAACGGTAGAAAACGGCACTACGCTAGAATAACAGATTTGAGTAAAATTTAGGTCAATTAGATTAAATTAGGATTAGACGGGAAATTAGAAATATGAAAAATCATATTTTTAGGTTAGAGCTAAATTAATTAGTAGGAGTAGGCGCGATCCAATTCGTTCCGATTTCAAAGGGAACTGAACCAAACCGAATACTGATAGAAATTTTAGAAACGGAACCATTGGTTACATAGTTAGCTATGGAACCGAACTGGAACTGAACCAATCGTTTCCGGTTCGATCTGGTTCGATTCTTTACATTGAAAATGTCAAAATAAAATGTTCACTAGTAAAAATCTAAAGATACTACCAATGTGATAATTTAAACAAAATATAGAAGAGCCGAATATATTATTCAAAGATTAAAAGAAAACTAAGTATACAAATTTAAAAACAATAGATTTTGTAGAAATCTAGAAGAAAATTTATTAACAATCAAATGTAATCAAAGTGAAAACAAAATTTCGATCGGTTATAATTTGTAGATGAAAAGTTTCGATTGGATCAACAACTATGTAATCAAAGTGAAAACAAAATAAAATTTTCGCATCTTAGAAATGAAATTATATATTGTAAATAAATTTATTTAGGTATAGATTTATTCAATATTTTAATTTGGCTTAAGAATCAATTAATCAAAGAATTACAAGAAGGGAGAATGAAAGAACAAAGTGCTGGAGTCTAAAATGAAGAAGGAACCTGATTATTTTTTATAAAATTGATTGGAGATTGAGTCATATCATTTACCAAAAAAAGAAAAAAAGTTAAAAATCCTAGGAGAACCGTCCAGTTCCCGACGGTTCCCATACTAGAATCGAGAACCGATTGATTCTTAATAATTTGTCCCAAAATCAAGTCATTGTTTAGAAGATTTGGAACCGAACCGGCCAATTCTAAACGGTTCCGGTCTGGTTCCAAGAAAAAATGCCAACTTATATTAATTAGTCAACAAATTTATTTAGAAAAAAATAGAATAATTTGACTTATTTAAAATAAATAAATTTAAAATATTAGGGAGATTCGGTTCTTGATCTAAAATCGAGAACCAAACAAACTCGTCGATTCTTGATTCAAATATCCGCTCGAGTGTTTAACTTAAAAAAAAAATCACTCGATTCAGTTTAATTTGGTTCGAATTCAATTTGGTTTTAGAGTTTTGTTCAATCCTAGTTTATTCAGCTCGAAATTGCTAATTATGACTTTTATTTAACAGTCTATGCAAAGAGGATATTAAACGATTTTAAAATGACAGAATTGGGAAACTAAATGAACAAAAAATCCAAAACATAAAACCCTGTAATTTTTTATTTTATTTTTTCCCATATTTGGGAAAGAAAACTTTGAAGAGTAGGTAGTTGATGCAATCATCGATCTTATTTGTATTTTATTTATGGAAGATTTCCCCTTTTTTCCATTGATTGATTGATTTATTTTTTAATTTCTCGAGCTTGGCATACAACAATGTTGAAAATTTGGAAGCTACTGTTGGTTCAACCGTGCTACAGTGCCCACCTCGGGGACAGACTCGGGGACAGGGGGCTGAGGTGGCATCTCCTCAACCCTCGATTTCAACTTCATTTTTTTTTTCAGATCCAATGGTCGAGGTGTTGCCACCTCGGCACCCTGTCCCCGAGTCGGTCCCCGAGCCTGGCCACATTGCATTTTCCCTGTTGGTTTATGTCTGAGCGTAAAAAACACGTACAAACTTAACTATTTACCATTTAACCCAATTTTGTCATGAGTTTTCAAAATCACCCCAAAATTTAGGGCATTTTTGTAAGTTGCCCCCTTTGTTTATGTAATGTGACAAAACTTCTACAAATGATATCTAAAGTCATTACTCAACTTTAATCACATGGAATGAATTAATGAAAATGACTATGATCATTAGGACAGTACCACATGGTTTTAACTTGTTATCAACTAACCACACTAATTAGCATATTTTGTTTTCGGTACTCGCTATAATCATAGAAGATAACTATGAAAAATTTGTTTTTATTCTATTCAATTTAAAGTACTTAACATCAACCCATTTCCATGCAAAAATTGCTAAATTTTCCTAATTAATGAGACATCATTTTTGTCCTATGATTGTATAATTTTTCATTTGCAATCACATGGAAAGAATTAATGTTAAGAATTATGAGCATTAGGGCAATACTTCATTGGTCTAACTTGTGTCGATGGCTAAAAGTGATTGAGCGCTTCTAGAACTAACAATGTTGTATATGTTGGAGTTTTGAATGTAATGACGATGTAACTAGCTGGAATTTTAGTACTAGTATAAAGAAATTTGAGATGGTTGGCCTATTTCGGTGTGCTTTTACCATCTTATGCAGTCACTAGATTGAAACTTGCCATCATAGTCTTATTATGCCACAGAGATGTACATCGACATTTGAGTCATCATTCTATTTGGAGAGATTTCAGTAGATAATTAAGAGTTCGACGATGATTACGTCATTGTGACAAGTAGGCTATATGTGTGTGCCTTAGGCCATTTCTTTAAATTGGCTAATGGGTAAGGTGTTGTCATCCACGGAGATCAATTTTACAATCATGCATGATGATATTCTCGAATGACCTTGCATACTATCATGTTTGGGCTTGGATGGACAAAAATAAAAATAAAAAATCCTCTTTGACCATTTCAAAGTGGATTCATAAATGATCCGACGTGAATTCTCAGATCGAACATCAACAACTTGTAATCAACTAACCACAATAATTAGCTATTTGATTTGCTGGACTCATTATAATCATAGAAGAAAACTACTTAAATTTTTGTCTTTATTTAATTAATTCAATGTATCTAATCAAAATTCAAGCTCAAACAATTAAATTTTCGAAATTAACAAGACATCATTTTTGTCCTACAATAGTACAATATTTCTTTTAATCAAAATTCTTTTTCAATTGAGATGCCAACATGACGTATAATCAATGGATTTGGTGTCATCTTCTTAGGCGACCACAATATTTTCTACGGACAAATTTTCAGTGGTCCTAATCAGAAATTAACAGTTAAATAATAATGTGTTAGTCACCGTCTCTTGTTTATTACAATTACTATTTTTGATTAAGACATAAGATTAAGCAAGAAAGTGACGTCGTTTTCTCTCCCAAAATTGTCTCCGGAATTACCGACTAATCCTTGTCCATGTGTTCTTTTAATTAAAATGTCTAATTGATTTAACATTTTGTTTTTGTCAAGAAAATCATGTCTGTCTTAAGGACCGTTAAACTAATTAATTGATGATTCAGTTCTATCTTATAAAATGTTTTGAATAATTTAATTATAAAGTACTTTTTTCTTTAAGTTTAGAGCATAATATGGTTCAACTTATAAGCAATAAAAGGAGAAAAAATTACATGAAATCGTGTTTTTTTTTTTAATTTTTTTTTTTTAAAGTTTTAATTTCTTTTATCAGGCATTAGCTTCATGTAGTCGAAGATCGATCACCACCCATTTGTTAAAAAATATGCCATCGACTTGCACGTGAATGGAAATAAATAAAAAATATATATTAATTTTTTGGTTCAACTTTTATTTCTTGTTTGGTCTTTCAATAAATAGTGAGCTGGGGTCTAAGAAGCCTTTATGTTGACTTTTAATGGTAGTCTACTGTCCTCGTTCTCCTCTTAGAATTGCACGATTGAGATTGAGTAAAGGTCACTGTTTGCAAAAATGTCCAGCATACAGGTGTACTAGTAGCGATAATGGAAAAAATGATGTGATGAGCTGGATACTACTGAACTGAAAGGGATTGTTCAAGATGATAGTTCGTTAATAAAGTCGAAGATGATGTAGTCAAGTAGATAGCTCTCGAAGAGAGCCCTTCGGCCTATAGGAGTAAGGATTCGGAAGAGAGGGTTGATATTGGATCAACTAAGGAAGTGAATGTTTTGCTAAAATTTTATTTTTAAGAATTGAATGGTTGATAATTATTTAATTTTTATTGCTCCCACAAAATATATGATTAAAATTAATTGACTTTAAAAAATAGAATTTTAAGGTAAGAAAATGAAATATGAGACTTTTTATATATACTCTAACTAAAGAAATCAAAACCCATGCAAAATAGAAGGTAAATCAAACAAAACATGAAAAGGAGATGATTTTTTTTTTTTTTTAATTGCTAGATAGATTACACATAAACAGTAACACTAATTAATTACTAATACAACATATATGAATTTCCAGAGACATAAAATCTAATAATTCGGTAATAATGCCTGATTGGCCTAGATATATAGGGGCCAGACCTAGGAGAATTAGAACTAGCTAGCTAGCTAGCTAAATCCTTAAATAATTACCTGATAAATTATTGCCACCTAGTACATCATCATCATCATAATAATAATAATAATGATAATTACATTATTAAACTCCTAATTATCCCAGCCTCTGGACTGTCGGCATCTATGGTAGAGAGTAACTGTGATAGCCTCTCACTCAGATCATCCACTTCTCTGTGCAAACTTCTAATGTAGTTGCATGTCTCCTGAAGTACCTTATTTGCTGACGCCTGCTCAACAAAAATAATTTCATTATATTTCAAGATTAATTTTACTTATAATTATATAATGGGACAGCAAATATATTTATATTTTTTTCCATTTTTACTTAGTTATACCACTCGAAAAAGAACTTTCAACTACAGCTCAAAAGAAACAAAACACAACATTTTTGAAAAAAAAACAAAATCGTCAGTATTCAAATTTTAACCCATAAACATACAAATTTCACACTGTGTGATACATTCGATCAAATTCATTATCAATTTGGTTAATATAAGAGTCAATAATATTTTCTTTCTTTTGAACAATTATTTATAGATAATATATATGCATGGATAAGTGAAAAAAATAGGAGACGTTAAAAACAAAAATAATAATTTTTAATGTGTTCTCTGAGTTGGCATTGCTATCTTATACTTCTCTAGTTTGACTATATAAAACATTTCCACATACACACACACACACATATATATATATAGGCACTTCCATAATATAAGCATGAATTTACCTTGCATGATGCAGAAATTTAATGCTTTGTCTTTAAAAATGTAGGCACTATCAAGTTGAGTACGGTATAATTCTGCATACCTTATTGGAGCGTCTATCGCGAATCTCGGGCAGAAGTTGCTGCAATTTGGACACAAGTTCAATGATCTGATCATCGGTAATCCTAGAACTCGATGTCGACTGCCTCGACCTTCTGCTCGACATATCTCTGAAATGTATGGCGGTTTCTTTCTTCTTGAGAAATTATGAAGCAGAAGAATAAGAAATGTAAAGGAGAAATCTGTATTGTTATAAGATTAGAAAGAGGAATGGACCACAAGAAAGAGATCACAGAGAAAAAGGTTTTGAAGGGAAAAAGAGAGTACACAAGCAGATAAAGCGATGTTGGATATGAAGAAGACAGGAGAATGAAGAAAGAAGTGGTGCAGGGCTTCTTATTAATAAGCAAGTAAGTTTGGGAGGAAGGGAGATGCCATGCATTGTTCTATTAATTTCAAAATACATTTCTCTCTCTCTCTTTTTTTTTTTTAATTACATTTGGTTTATCAAAAAAATTGATTTTTTAGTACATTATTATAAAAGTTGATGGAATGTATGAAAATTTGTAGATCCCGTGAAATGTTTGATTAAAATTAATTATTAGTTATAATCTAAATTAAAATCAATTTTTTTAGATGAATAAAACAAGGACATAATTTTTTTTATTTAATTTATGTTCCCAATGTGGGCTTGATCTCAACTTGGTTTAAAAGTAATGCAAGTGTTCTTTTGTACTAACAATGTGGGCCTTCATGTGCATGTCTCAATATGCAAGACCATGTGATTATTATATTGTACATATCCTATACCCCCATTGATAACCCTACGCAATTTGAACTCGAGCATGTTCCAAGAAATCTACCTGGTTACATGGCTTTGATTATATGTCATTCATCTTGACTAGGATTGATTCATTCTTCGAACACCATTACCACTTTAATCAACAACTTTAAAGTTATCGGGAGAGCTCGTAGGAAGCAAACTCATAATAAGCAAAAGGGTCGGGAAGGAAGAGGAGATAGATTCATACGACGAACCCGAGCCCCCTATCCCTATAAATAAAGCAAAATAGACCTTTATTTCCATTTTATTTTTACTATATAAGAGTTGCACTAGCGACATCCTTCCTCAGTTTGCGTTGATGATGTTCGTAAATTCTTCAACTTGACATATATAAATGTGTTTTAACATGCAATTCTTAAACGATTAACTCAATTTATAATATAAAAAATTTATTAATTACATCATTCAAACAACAACCTTTGGTAACGAGCAAAGATTGTATACAAATATATACATGCACATAATAAGAAGGCCACAAACAAATCCTCCCCACCAACTAAACATCATAGTGCGACAATAGTAAGTGATCACATGATCTGCACATTACTTAATTTAATGGCATGATCTCGATTGGATAGGGGAATTAATGGTGTTGATCAAAAACAAACGTGGGATGGCGAGTTCCACTAGATACTTCTCTCTCAATTAATGTTTTCTCCTCTTGTTAGGGACATAACCACGAGAGTGTTTGCAAATATCATTTTCAAAGATCATGTCACATGCCTTTCTCACTTCTTCCACAAAATGACAAGTATCACAGTAAATATATTATCTATAAAATTAAATTGCTAAAAGAGGCAAGGAAAACTAGCCAAGCTCTTGTAGACACAGGTGCAAACTTGTTGACCCCACGAATTACCCTACTTGCTCCTAATTAATGTTTATTATCTATGACAACCGTCGTACTATATACTATCTCATTTAAAAGTTTTTATCGCTTGAAGCGTAAATAATCACTCTTTCTCTTTTCTTTGCTGAAAAGTCAGTCCATTTCTTGGATTTGATCAAGCAAGCTAGGAAACTAGACAATTGAGGACACAAGAAAGATAATGACTATTCAATCCCGCTATTGAGATGCTCAGTGGACGTCTTAACCTTGATAGGAAGACAACTAATTCAATAATTGGTGTATAAGGGTAAGGAACTTTGGATGAACTAATGCAAATGCGTGTAAGCTTGTTGTTCGAAAACACCCAGTGCTAACCAGACTGAAAGATACGCAAGCTCAATTAACGCTTCTTCTTTTTTTTAATTGATAGGTTTAATTATATTTAATTTCTTTCTGCATGTGTCCTATAATGCAAGTTGAATTTATTTTTTCACGAAAAACTAAACACGTACAAAACTCTATGAATCAGTAGATGTGAGGATTGAATTGAATTTATATTTTTTTTAATGTTTTAAAATCACGTTGAATAATCATTTAAAAAAAAAAACTAAGTTAATTAAGATGGGATATATTTTTGTATGACTCTAAAGTTTATATAAAAAAATATGCTGGAAATGCAACATGAAGTACATGGCATAGACAAGTGGGACAGATTTTAAATGTTATATGATTGACAGATTATTTTGTTGTCGATTTAATGTCTCAAAGAATTCAAGTTTTTGCCAAGTCCTACGGTCATTCGAGACTTTCTAGGATAAATTAAGATATTCAACAATTCCAAAGTAATAAAAAAAATATTGAAAGATAAATGTAGGAAGATTTATGACTGTTGCTTCGCTAGTGAATCGTCATATTCTGTCAATTTCTTTGAAATTCTTGAACATTTCCCATTACATCTTTATAATATTATTCACAAATAAAGTGTGACATATCCTAAGGCAAAGTTAGTCGAGTCGGCGCAACTTCTAAACAAATAAGATGATCGCTTTAAGTTCGAAAGACCCTCGAGTACTAAAAATTTTATTTCCAAATAGTTTTGCATTCGAATCTTAGACACTAATTTTTTTTTTAATCTCCAATAATTAAAATATTTGTTTTCAGAAATTTAATTTGTAGATAGAAATTATGTCACAAAATTAAGTAATAAAAACAAAACAAAATATTATGAATGGAAAAGGTTTTAGGTAATATGTATGTATCAATGTATAAATGAAACTTTCTTTTTCATTAAGAATGAAGTTTAGCCCTTGTTCAAGCCCCAATTTTTGGGCAAAAATGCATTTTAAAATAGTGTTTTGTTAGAGAATGTGTAGTTAAAAAGTAAAAAAAAAAAATCATAGATTTACATATAAAATTATTTTATAGTAGAATATGTCGTTAAAAATGAGTTTTTAAAAAAAATAGGGGCCAAACATAGGCTTAATTTTATAATACTAAAAAATATAAATATTTTCATGGACTTCAGTTTATCAATGAAATTTTCATCTATAAAATATTGTCAGTAATGAAATAATGATTAAAAATAAATTATCTGGCTTTAGTATCATAAATATAAAACAAAAATCTATAATTCCTCTATCGATTATCGAAGCACAATCAGTACTCGACAACAAAATTATCGATAATATTGTTGACAATAATTTAAAGTAGGTACGTGGGGTCCAATAAGAGGAAATTGCACCGTCTCCAGTGTTTTAACTTTACAGTGCAAAAATTTGGCATGAAGTTTTGTTATTCACAAATCAATGATGAATATGATAATTAAATATCTCCCCCAATTCCAACCGTAACCATTTTAATTCACCCTCTTTCTCCATCTTCATTACCAGGCACCAGTGCTTATGTAGGTTATGAAATAGAAAGTGACGCCAGAACAACCATCCGGCGATGACGCAAACCACGACCATCCAGTGACAACATCACCATTACTACAGGCACTTCGAGATCGGCGTTACTCGACGACTGATTTTGGAGATTTTTTTGTGTGGGAATTTGAGGGCAGAGGTGGTGGATCTGATAATTGGGTTGGTTATTGTTGGCGACTACATTGTGTTTGCGGCGTTACTCGATGATGAATTTTGGAGATTTTTCTTTGTGGGGATTTGAGGCGATTGCGATGGCTTGTTGGATATGATGGTGGTCTATGTCGACTTCTAGATCATCATCGTGTGAATATTGATACGTCGGTGTCTGAATGGTGTGAATATTAATCTTTTGGTGGTGGCTGTAGTAGTGTGACGTGGTGTGTTCAAATCTGGATGGTAGTGACAGTGATAGTGTTTGGATGGTGGTGCGGTGATATTGGTTGTGTTGATGGTGGAGACGTTGGTTATGTGTTGTTGGTGTTTTTGGTGGTGGCGATCGTGGTGGTTTTCCATCAAATTGGGTATTTGTGTGGTGTGTGGTGATGACAGTCGTGGTGGTTTCTAGTGACGAACATGGTGGTTGTTGGTTGTGGTTACCTTGATTTTTGTTTTTGTTGGTGCTAGTGTTGGCATTGATAACGGGGCAAGGGTGGTTGCAAGTGCCTGTGACGTCATTGACGGTACGATAGTGGTGGTGGTCTGTGACCCCTATTTGACGAGTGTGACCAACTATTTTGTTATTTGTGATCATCTGACCTTGGCGATGGTAACGGGGTAAGAGTGGTCGTGATGGCAGTGGCGGTGTAATACTGTTAGTGGCGGTGGTGTGTGACCACTATTTGACTTATGTGACCATCTGTGATCAAATATTTAACTATCATAAACAAATTTGAAAATATATAATCTATAAATTTTTAGATTTGTGACCAACGAAATGATCTTTGATCTATAAATTTTTTTATTTGTGATCTCGAAATAATCTGTGATTAATTAATTTAATGATATGTGATTAATAAATAAATTGTGACCTAAAATTTTGTATATGTCACTATTAGTTTTATAACTGCAACCTTATTACATTTAATTAATAAAATATTTTTAATTAATAAATAAATACCTGATTTTTACGCTTTTAAACTTAGGACTTGAAAATTGAATTGGTGTAAAGAATATACCTAAATTATGAATTTTTCCCGTCCAATAATCCCATTGTAAAAAATGGACCTGGGCTGGACCGGATTAAAATGGTATAACAACTAAACAGTAGTGTGGGTCTGCGGCTCTGGGTTGGACTCTTCCATTCACGTGATTGAGGCAAGCCCTTGGGCTAAAAACTTTTTCAAAATTTCTAAATAATCAATTACTCTACAAAATATCAAATTTAGCCCCAATTTGACCCTCATTTTCTAAAAATTCATTTTTAATTACATATTTCATAGAATTCATAACTTTTATTAACTCTTTAATCACGTATTCATTAATTTATATCAAAGTCTACTAAAGAACTGATTTTAAGCTAAATCCAATATGGGTCTAATTTGTTGCTTCACCCCCAAAGCATTACTCTTGTAACCCTTAACTTTTTTTTGACTGTTGTAGCTTGTTTGAGATGCAGCACTAAAATATTTAAGATTGTTACATTTTTGGGTATTGTATTCAGTTCATCACTAGACACACGGGAAGATTCAAAACAATGAAATCCTTATCAAGCACAAGAAATCATTTTTTAGCCCCTGTTTGGCTCCCATTAAATTACATTCCATTACATTCTATTTTTCTCTCTCCTA